CCCAGAGCCACGTTGAAGCCAGTGCCATGACCTTGAATCTCCAGAACTGTGGCTAAATGAACCACTTTTCTTTATAAAGTTAACCTGCCTCAGGTAGTTCATTATAGCAATGAAAAAATACTAATAGAATATGTGTGACAAATACACAAAGATGGGAATGTTACTACAATTTATATTGGAAAAATACCTCAAAGAGGTTGTGGTGGACAAGARCTCTGACAGCTGCTGCTCTCACCATTGAGGAAGCTCAAATAAATACTTTGGCTAAGTATTTTCCTTTGGGTCCTGGGTAAGCCTCTGTGGCAGAGTTGGCTTCATTCTGGATCCTGCCCTGAACTGGGCGTGAAGATTAGACGGTTTCACCCGGCTGTGCCCTCCAGTTACACCACGCCCTGACCAGCTCCACTTCCCATTTCCTGGCTGCAGCCCCTCTGTCCATCACCCAAGTTGGCTGCCTGTGGGGTGCGGGAGCAGGAAAGGAGCAAGCCACAGAGCAAGACATAGGAGACTAATGTAACCCAGGTGTCACTCAACATCACAGACTTAACTGGAAGAAATTTTAGTGGTCATCTGGGTCACTTGATTTCAACCTCATTAGGTCCACAGATTCTTTGAGAATCAGAAGAAAGTGGTTGAACCCTCTAGAGAGATACACCTTCCTCAAACCCATCCAGCTAAACTCAGCTTGCCCTATTACTCTCGGACGTAGGGATTCAACCCAGGTCCTCACACATGCCAGGCAAGTGCTCTACCTCTGAGCTATGTCCCCAGTCCATAGACTAAGCTTTTTATTTGACAGACATGGATATAAAAACCCAAAGAAGATGCAGGACTTGGCTAAGATTACACAGAGAAGATAAGTGAATTCAAAGTCTGCTCTCCCGATTTCCAGTGTAGGACCCATCAGCCCCATGCTAGCAGGTTTCCACTCTATGTCCAGCCCTATATTGGGAATTATGGGAAATTATAATGCTTACCAATAAGGAAATGGAGCTCAAACCAAGATCAAGAAGTAAGCAATATCCCTGCTTTGGGAAGCTGAAGAAAAATGCCTTCCACTCTTCAACTATTTATTGAGCACCTATGAGCAACTCCTAAAAATCTCAAATAACTAGGAGATTCATAATTTATTGGAGATTTGGACTCTGTAATCTCACACCCGAAGAGGACGTTGAGGTCCTCAAAGTGATTGTGTGTATATGTGTGACTTTGTTCAGGTGATGGAAACCCTACCCTGAAGTGGTCTCTGCAGAGTTTAACTAATGCAACTTTCCCTTGCCTGGAGTCTCATGGACTTTGGCACAAATTAAGATCATATTAACAAAGGAGACCAGGGTTGTCCAGAGGTGGTGCCTAAGTAGAGTCAGCTGCAACCTTAGTTGTTCAAAAAGGAAGAAGAAGAACCCCAAGTCTTAGGGCCACTTTAAGCAATGGCTGCCCKGGATATATATTTTATAAGTAGCAGGAAGAGAACTTATATATTTTATAAGTTTCAKATTCAGATGTCATCATTCTAGAAAAAAGAAGGAAAATCATGGTAGACTATTTGTCTCCTCAGTTGGATGCTAAGAGAAAGCCTTTTATCATGGAGGAGCCTGGTTCTGGAGCCTGGATCCTGGGGACTCCCCTTCATTCTGAGCTTCTCCTGGCTCGTCTCCCTAGCTTGTCAGCGTTTTCTTTTGCAGAATGTACTTTATTCTGTCTTAAAAAAAAAAAAAAAAAAAAAAAAGCAACCAGGGATTGAACCCAGAGGTGCTTAACCACTGAGCACATCCCTAGCCCTTTTTATATTTTATTTTGAGACAGAGTCTCACTAAGTTGCTTAGGAGCTCACTAAGTTGCTGAGGCTGGCTTTGAACTTGTGATCCTCCTGCCTAGGCTCCCAAGTCACTGGAATTACGGTATGTGCCACTGCACCCAGCCTGCCTCATAATGTTGATATTAACTTCCCAGACTGTCTCTCCCACATGGTGGTAACTTTTTAAGGGGAGGAACTCAGCCCTCCCTGTCTTTCTAGTCCTTAAAGCCTAGGATGGCACTTGTATGCAATGAGTGTATCAATCAAGGCCCAATCAGGAGACAGAGGCCACACAATAATTTGAACAGAAGGAAGGAATATAAGGAATTATTTACTTTTGATGGGAGCAGTTATAAAGATGTCAAGAGAAGGGTGCTCTATAGCTAAGAGATTACCTAAGGAAGGACCCAGGTGGAAGGTGCCCCTTTCCATGGCCGGGGTATCACTGGAGAGGTGCGGTTGTCACCCACAGCATGGGGGAGAAGTTCACAGGTTGCCTGAATCCGAGCTGCTTCATACTCACTGGCAGCAAAAAGCTTTCCCAGGCATGGGCAAGGTGAGGCTGGTGGACAGGTGTGTAGACGAAGTCAGGGCACTCTGCCAGTGCAAGGCCTGAAGGGCACCGTGCCTGCATCAGGAGGGCCATGGTCAGCTGGTTCCCGGAACCAGGCCAGGCTGCAGGGTCACTGGCTAACTCTGCCCTCCAGACACACACCTGGGGCAGAGTATCACTGAATATCCCCACTCCCAGACTCCACAGCCTCCAGGATCCAAACCTGAAGAGTCCCCTTCTCCCTGCAGTGTCCCTCCAGTGCCCTCTACTGACAAGGCTTATGGTGATATGCACTCTAGAGGGGAGAGAGCATTAGGAGGTTCCAGTTGGTTATGTCAGAGCAGAGATGGAAAGTGGATTTAGACCTGAGAGGTCTAAATATACCTGTGACCCCCGGAATAATGGGTAACCAAAAAAGTTTGAATTAAATTAGGTAAAAGCTGTCAACACCCCCGCCCCAACATCTGATTATTTCCCTTTCTTTGAATCCCATCATTTTGGGGGGGTTTGTTTTTGTTTTTTCCTAGTACTGAGGATTTAACCCAGGGGCACTCTACGTCTGAGCTATATCCCAACCCTTTTTATTTTTCATTTTGAGACAATGTCTCTCCAAGTTGCTGAGGCTGGCCTCAAGCTTGTGATCCTCCTGCCTCAACTTCCTGAGTAGCTGGGATGACAGGTGTGCACTACCACACCCAGCAGAACCCCATATGTTTTGTGATTTACTCTCTAGGAGCTCATTCCCTTCTGGGGTGTTCTGGGTTTTTTTTGGGGGGGTGGTTTTTTGTTGTTTGTTTGTTTTTTGTTTTGGGGGGTTTTTCTGTTTTGTTTTGTTTTGTTTGTACTGGGGATTGAACTCAGGGGCACTCAACCACTGAGCCACATCCCCAGTCCTATTTTGTATTTTATTTAGACTGGGTCTCCCTGAGTTGCTTAGTGCCTCACTTTTGCTGAGGCTGGCTTTGAATTAGTGATCCTCCTGCCTCAGCCTCCAGAGTCACTAGGATTACAGGCATGTGCCACCGTGCCTGGCTTGTTTTGGTGTTCTTAATGAGGTATATGCCTTTCTTCTCTTGGCTCACCCTTAGAGAGATGAAAGAGAATGAGAGGGGAAAAAAACATCTAGGACAACTTATTTCTGCACTCAACCTTGAACTTGTTTGCTTCCTGTTTCTTTTCGAGCAATCCACCTGTCCCTCCCAAACACTTTAGGAGTATCCCAAAGCACTTGGCTTGAAGTGGCAGCGGAAGGWATCAGGGCTGGTAAGACTGGAGCTTTCTCTGCCTTTAAAGAAAAGGTCAGACTGGGGGAGTCTGAAGAGATTTGCCCAAGTAGCCTCCAAACATTTTAGAAGAAAATAGGCGATAGAGCAAACAACAGAGTTGGGGAATAATTATCAGCAYAAATATTATTCAGAAAGGACCAGTACTTTCCTCTTAAGCAAACCAAGAAGAGTACAGAGGTGAAGGGTCCTTCAGGTGCCATCCTGTGGGAGATCATGTGATTAACCGGCACCAGTTTTCAAGACTGTACACTTAGGCATCACCCATCCTAAATATTCCRTTCTCCTCTGAAGAGTCTGATATAATTAGTGTTAACTGGTGGTTCCCTGCAGGAGCTAGCTCAGCAGTGAGATGGGGGTGCGGTTACAACTGCCTCTACRGGTGAAGTGGTTTTCCAAGCACAATCTGTTTACTGTCCTTCGGAAGCAAACTCATCCCTTTAGACCAGAAAAATGGCAAGGGGGAAATCTAGGGGAACTTAGTCTTTCTGCCAAAATTTCTATATGTATATTCTTTTTTCTTTTTCTTTTTTCCAATTAATGGAGATTCTGGACCCGTGAAACCTAGAATAGACTGGCAGGGAGCCATCTCAGTATCTTACCAAGCTACACCTTGTCGCCCTTACATGTACCAAGGAAATCATACTCTTAATGGTCAATAAAAATACACATATTTATCCTTGGGCAGTGGGATTATGTTTAATCTTCTATTTGCTGATCTTTTTTTTCTGCTGATCTTTAATTTTTGTAAAATTACTATATTGTAAAAAATTTAATCAAGGGCTGGGGATGTGGCTCAAGCGGTAGCGCACTCGCCTGGCATGCGTGCAGCCCAGGTTCTACCGAAAACTAAAAAAAATAAATAAATATTTTAAAAATTCTCTCCTCTCTCTCCTCTCTCTCTCTCTCTCTCTCTCTCTCTCTCTCTCTCTCTCTCTCTTAAATCTAACCAGCCCCTTCCCAGCCTCTTCACTTCCCCCTGTTCAGATTAACTGCCAAAAAAAAAAAAAAAAAAAAAATCAGCAGACTGCAGTTTTGGAAGAGGTTCTTGGAAGAGATTTATCTCCTCACTCTTGATCTTCTAAAAACAGACCACTTTTTCTTCTACCCCTCACCAAGCGGTGATGGATGCCACACCTGCCTCTGAGGTGACAAAACCTAAGTGATGAATAAAAGCCTTTTATGATTCCTTATGATTCTCGCACATTCTGTGGCAGGTGAAAGCATTAGCCTGGGGCACTGAGCCCTGTGAAGACCGCTCTGAGGGGTGTTATTCTGCCTCAGGCATGGCTGTACCGAGCCACGGGAACCTTGGGGGATTTCTTCTGGCATTGCTAACCTTTGATGTGTTGCTCTGTCCTTTCAGATTTTTGACAATGAAGCCAAAGACCTAGAGAGAGAAGTTTGCTTTATTGATATTGCCTGTGATGAAATTCCAGAACGCTACTACAAAGAATCCGAGGTGAGTGATAGATGGAGAACATGTAGAAGAGATTGACTGATCCATTCATTCATTCATTCATTCATTCATTCAACAGGGATTCAAGTGCCTCCTCTCCAGGGATCCTTCCATCTGTCTTTGTGTGGCTTTAGTTTGGTCTTCCATCTTGCTGGGTTATTTACTGTGGGTCTCAAAATTAGGTCTTTGCTCCTCAGGGCCCGTTACTGGCCTACCTGCCAATCACTTTCCATTAGCTTTCCTGTCTGCCCGACTCTGCTGTCCATCTGGGCCACATGGATGTTCACAGGGCTGAGCCATCTAAYACACTGGCCTCTGAAAAACAGCAGCCTGAATCTCCACCCACATGCTCTGCCAGGGCAGGAGCTATATTTTATTTTTATCTTTTGGGTTTTAACATTTTTTTAAAAAAAAATTCTCAAACAATCCTCAAAACTTTTGACTGCTCATGATGGTCTAGAACCTTTCTCTCAAAATAGCAAGCACCTTCAGAAGGCCTTCTCCTTTCTTCTTGGCTGAAAATACATTTAAGAGACTCTTTCCCTCTGATTTCCACCCTGCCAGAATTCGCCCTTTGCCCAGTTCTCCCTCTTGATTTTACTTGTTGGTGTAAGTCACCATTTATATCCTCTTAGTATTTTATTAATGGCTGCTGACGGAACTTGAGTGACCCGCCTGTAAATAACGTCCCAGCCCTGCAATGACAACAGATGCAGGGCTATTTTTGTTGTTTAGCAACATGCAGCCAATCACAATATGTTTGGAATCAGGGCCCCAGACTCGTCCTTGAGCTGTAACACACAGACCTTGAAACTCTTCCCTCAGATTCATTAAGGCTCATAGAAGASGTTACAAATAATCCTGTTAAAAAGAGAATTCCAACTGGGCTCCAGCGTGGTTCAGATTTGTTTGCCCTCACATTCTGGGATACGTTTGGATAGAAAAGTTTTGCCTGATCCTGGGAGATGTGTAGCTGCTTAATTGCAGGCTCATGGCTCTCCAGCTGCTGTCCCTTAAAGGGCCTGGGAGAAGCTGAGGTGAATCACGCTTGTCATACCCATCAACACAAAGGCTGGGCATGTTAACGTCATCAGCTTGTATTGCACTCTGCAGCCAACTACACCTGTGTATTTTAAGAAGAATAAATCAAGCGCTCTCTGCCCAACTGTGGACCTGCTGGCAAGAAGGGTGAAGCAGAGCTCCACCCGCCTTCTGTGGTTCCATATCAAGTCCAAGGAGCTTAATTGGGCTTTTCAATGAAGGGCCCAACATTATGAAAAGCATTGATAGAAGCCATGCCCCGTCATTTTCTGTGGCTCCTTCATGTARGGTCTGCTGTCCTCTGGACACCTTGTCCTCTGGAGCAGCTCTGTGCCTTCCAGGAAGGCAGTGTTGCCAGAAAACTGAACTAATTTCAGCCCTTCCTCCCAGAATGCTTTGGTGTGGTCCTGCCTATTCCTCAGGGAGTACTTTTATGATTCAGTGGAAAGTCTTGGGATAAACAGGGAATGGTAATGAAGAAATCAATGGTTCTCACTTAAGGTCACCAGGTGCCTGACTCACTTCCCTGTGCTTTGTTCTCCTAAGAACCATCCCTGGAAAGTTTCTTTCCATTCACACTGGTGGAGCGCTGTTGTCGTGCTTGATGGAGTCATGCACGGACATATTCATACCTCTGTCCTGGACCATGAAGCATTCTTTCCTGCATGTAGTTTGACCAAGGAAATGAGAGATGGTCACTCATCCAATAACTCTTAATGGAGTACTCATTGAATTAAGACAGATACATGGTAGTGAGACCCTCATGGCCCTCCCTCAAGACACTTCTAATGTAGCAGAGGAGCCAGACAATAAAGGAAAACCCCATGAATATGGAAGTAGAGGGTACTCTCAAGAGAGATGTTCTGGAAGAAATKACAGCAGTGCTGAGACCTGCAGGATGAAAGAGCTGGGGATATCATTCCAGGTGGAGGGCAGAGCAAGTAGAAGACCCCAGTGTGACTGTTGTTGTTGTTGTTATTGGTACCAGGGATTGAACTCAGGGGCACTCAACCACTGAGCCACATCCCCAGCCCTATTTTGTAMTTCATTTAGAGACAGGGTCCCGCTGASTTGCTTAGCATCATGCCRTTGCTGAAGCTGGCTTTGAACTCGCGATTCTCCTGTCTCAGCCTCYKGAGCTGCTGGGATTACAGGCTTGCACCACCACACCCAGCTCCATGGTGACATGTTTAAGAGGCAAACATAGTGGCCACGGACAAACAAGGGAAGAAAGGGATGAAGGAGGAAGGGGCTGTTTAATAGACAGATTTTATTCAAGTACGGTAAATCCCTTTGAAGATATGGAAGATAGAGCATCATAGGGTCTGATTTATGCTTCCCAAAGATTGCTCTGGAAGGAAAATACATTGAGAAGGGCAGAATGGAAATCAAGAGACCACTGAGGTCAGTAGAGTTATTTGCATTTTTGGTTATTTAGGTTATATGCTGACTTGAACTAGAGTACTAACAACAGACATAGAGAGGACAGATGGTTTTGAAATATGTTTTGAAGACAGAATTGACAGGGATCCATCTCAGATGGGCTAGAAGAGTGAGAAAAAAAGAGGAGTCAAARTGACCCAAAGGATTCTGGCATAGACAGCAGGTAGATGGGGTTCCATTTACTGAAATAGGAAGATGAGAAGAGGAATGAGTTTTGGAGAAAGCTTGGTGGACTTTGTGAGGCCAGTGAGACATCTAGCATGAGGAGCAACCAGTCTGGACCTTGGGTGGGGGATCTGGCCTGGAGACCAATCAGGGTATCTGGTGAGAAGAAAATGTAGAAAATYTTTTAGACTCCTGGGAATGGATGAGGGGGGGGGGGAGGCATAAAGTGTAATGGGAATGGGGTTAAGGACTAAGCCTTCCTTTAAGGCTTAGTCCTTAACCCCATTCCCATTACAGAGGAGGCACCAGGAATCTACAAAGAACTGTCCAGAGAATGAGGAAGATCACAGGGAGGATGTGTCAAGAAATAGAACAGAAATAAAGGAGAGTGGAAAACTGTCCCTCAGAACAGTTCCCAGCTGGGGATGACTTTGCTTTGCATGGGTGCTTGCCCCACAACAGTTTTGGTTGTCACAACCTGGGGAGTGCTGCTGGCATCTGGTGGGTCAAGGCCAGGGATGCTGCTAAACCCCCTATAAAGCACAGGACCACCCTTTACAATAATTATCTGGCCCCAAATGTCAGTAGTGCCAAGGCTAGGACACCGTGCTCTAGAAAAAGAGGTCACTGCAGATGAAAGGAACTCTGGGTCCAGCGCTCACAATGCTTCCTATCAAGAGTCTTAGGGTAGCTTAATGAATGTGGAAGAAATGGGCCTCCTGGGGCTCAGTCCTGTGAACTCTCCAGTCCCACTTCCAGAGGATCTGCTGCCTGCGTCACTGGGAGAATTCCTCCTCCATTGGCAGTCACACCACAAAGGGCTACAGGCATAATCCAATCATCCAGAGCCTGTAATAAAATCTAAGGAAGCGAGTGTCTGTGGGACTCCCAGTGACCCCCAACCCCACATCATCTGATTCTGAGAATCCCTGGCTACAGTCTGGACTCACCAGCAGTGTGTTTTATAGGCTGTGTGGGTTGTGTGTACTGTGAATGTGACAGGGACAGAGAATAAGAGAAGCAGCCAGTTGGCAAAACATTTCCGAATTTATTTCTGTTTGGCACATTGTAAATTATTAACACCCTCCTCCCCATCCTAAGAGTTTTCTTCTAATAGGAAATCTGACCTTGTTACTCTGCTTAAAACCCCTTTCTGGGCCACCTTTAGAGTTTGGCTCAAGCACGACTTCCCCTTAGGGAACTTTCCTGAGCACATTGCTCCTCCAGCCCTTCCCTGGTCTGTAGCTTCTAGATCATTCCACCTCATGCTATCTCATAGCCACAGCATGAGTTCTATGAAGCCAAGAGCCATCCTCCTTCTTCCCATACTCAGCAGCTACTGAAGCACCAGCTCTTAGCAGATGCTGCTCCCCAACAGTTGGTGAATGAACACAAGTGAAGGCCAGGGGCTTTGTTTTTTAATTCCAGCAGTGACAATTTCAGAGAAAGTGCTATCAAAGAAAATGAATCTGTTGCCATTAAGCTAGCAGTTGTGAATCAGAGTTCCTTTTTGTTTAATCTGAGGCTGACTGCCTTATGGGCTTTTTCTTCCAATCCATTCTTGTAAGTTGACTATGTCAGCATCSTAAAGAGCAACACACTTTCTCTGCAGAAAGCCAGGGAGCTGGTGGGCACAGTCTGCTCCAAGATTTTTTGATGCTGATGAATCCAGACCAGGGTTATCTGGAGCACTACTCTGTACCCAGCTACAGCCACACACACTGCCACTCAGGCCAAAGGAGGGGATTGAAGCCATTCCTTTGCTCGTCCCATTTCTCCCTGGAAACCTGAGCCACACAGTCAAGAATGTCTCTCTCATTAAGGTGACCAGAGTGGGGAATTTTCCACCAGCTGCCCTCTGCCTGACAGTCCCCATGCTACCACTAACCAGGGATTCAGAAGGACACTTTGGGGACTTGGGATCAGCTGATAGCCTGGTCCAGAGCTCTCCGATTTCTCATTTTTGCAGTGCTGCTATTTTTTGTCCAAATCAAGAGCTGTGTTTCAGTTCCCCAGAGCTTCTGAGCCTCARGTTTTATTCTCATATCCATCGGACAACGCTGCAGGGCAGTGTTGTAATGTTTTTTTTTTTTAAAAAAAGAGTGTGATTTCTCAGACATGGAGAACACCTCCATTAGGCACCAAGACCTGCCTGCGCCCCATGAAAGKCAGAAGGCTGTCTGCGCCTAATCACAGGGACAGTTTTCATCAGCACCCCAAAGCAGCAGAGAGGGTGAAGCTGAACACCAAGCAGGTTGTACTTGTTATGCGGTTGATAAGTGGCTCTTGCTTCTGCCAAGATTCCCATCCGACTCTYTGATGCTCTGCCAAGATTTCAAGGTGAAGATCCCAGC